TTCGTGGACGTGGGGGCCGGACGGGCGCTCGGGGGGACGGTACGATGCTCCTTCCCTGCCCCCCCGGAGGGGCCCTGCACCCCCAGCTCCATGGTGTCCACGTGACGCCACTCTGAACCAAGGCTGGCCTCCCGGGTCGGCTGCTGGTGCTGCCTCGGACCTTCAACCCCTCTGGACAGCCTCGGGGGTTCGAGTCGGGGAAGATGGGGCTCTCAGCCGCTCAGGATGGGGGGCTACGCCGTGACCCCCACTCTCTCGGCTCCCAGGTGTTCCTGCACTGCAGCGTGTCCGTCTGCCGGCCTTCAGGGTCCCCGTCCTGTGCAGCCTGCCCTGTGACTAGGCGTGAGTATCCAAGCTCTCGACATGGGTCCTGGCTAACCTCCCACCCCATGGGCATGTGGCTCGGACTGGAGATGAGCCCATGAATGAGGCCTCTCCTAGGACTTCTAGATGCTTCCGAACCCCAGGCCTTCTCATCGGAAGTTAAAATCCTCCAGCAACTCTCGGCCTTGGCATTTTCCATCGGGCTTACACGTGGCCCGATACACACACACACACACACAAACCAATTAAGTGTCGCATGTCTGACTCCAACACTACCGAATCCACATCCCTCTCAAACTAGAACCAACTTCAGCTTCGTTGAAAGACGTGGGATTCAAACAAAGCTCTGCTCTGTGAACCATCGCCAGTTATTTCTATCGAGGTCTTCATAAGCTATTTATTGTATAAAGAACTAATCGGGAAAGAAGGGCAGGGCAGGGCAGTCTGACATGACCCGGGTGCCCCCATTCTGCTGCCCCATGAAGTCTGTCTTGCTCAGACTCCTATTACCATGCTAACGAGGCTTCAGACCTGCTCATCGGAGGTTCAGCGGATGGGATTTAACATGGTCTTTGCTTCAGGCCTGGAGCAGAGCTGTCCATGCTGAGGAACCCTGCCTTGCATCGGACTCTCGCACCCTAAACCCCCACAACCCCGTGTGCAAAACGCTAACACCCCCTCCCGCCTCCTCCGACAGGGAGAAGAAGCTCTGAGGCCCAGGACCCCAACGGCACCGCCAGCATTTCCAGCCTGGGCCCCATGATCCTGCTTCAGGCCTCTGAGGACCCTTCCCCACAGCCTCCTGCAGACTCGAGTGAGTGAAGACTTAAGGCCTGCCTGGGGCAGGAGGCAAACCAAAGCTTTCCCTCCTTCCCCTTATCTCCCCTCCCCCCCTCCTCCCCCTCCACTCCCCCTCCCTCACCATCCACATCGACTGCTCAGGTGGCAGCCCAGGTCACCGCCCTCCCCTCCCCTCCCCTCCCCTCCGCCAGGTGCTGCGGGAGACCCCCAGGCCTTGTGGGTGGCCGGCCTCTCGGGGACCCTCATCGTGGGAGTTTTGGGCGTGACCTACCTGGCTGTGAAGAAATGGAGCTGAGTTCCCCGGACCAAACGCACCAATAAACATGATTTTCCCAGCAGCCCGGGCCCGCGTCTCATTGGGTGGTCTCTGGGTGGCTTGTTGTCTGTCTGCTGTTGGCATCTCTCCTTCCCAGCTGGAGGGCGAGGAAGGGGTGCGATGTACCACGAACAGAGTAACACCTGTGGCTCTCTACCTTCCTCCCCGGGCAGCCCTGACAGGCGCCTGGTAGACCAGCTGTCCCCACTCATCAGTACGAGGGAACTTTTGGTTGCCTGGCCTTTCAGCACCGTCTTCATCTTGGCTCTTAAACAGCTGGTTAGGGGTCCAAACCAGGCCCCTCTCCAACAGCTGAGTGGGGAGCAATAGTCGCTTGGCTACACACCCGAGTCTCATGAACACCGAGTAAGGGGGGCAATCGCCTCCAACTCCCAGGACTGGGACATCCAGAGATCAAACCCCACCAAGTGTGGGAGGCTGCCCGAGAGGAATGGGTGTGAGAAGCCAGGATCACTAGGGCAAGTCATGGGAGGAGAGCTGGAACGCGGACCAACTCCATCTTGCCCAGAAAGCGCTCGGCTCTCGATTCATCCAATGCCCACCTGGGTAAAGGAAGCATGTGTGTCTCATTTTACTTTATCCAATCCTAGAGGTTCTAGCCCTCCCCCTCCCCGCCACCTCCTTAGCTTTCTCTCGCCTCCCTAATCTATCACCAGTGGATTTCATGGAATTCACTTAGGTCCGTGGTCGGCAAACTGCGGCTCTATGGCCCCTTGAGGGTGGCTCTTCCACAAAATACCACGGCCTGGGCGAATCTATGTTGAAGCGGCGTAAGAAGTTTAGTTTAAAAAATGGGGCTCAATCGTTGTGCTGTTGATATTTGGCTCCATTGACTGAGTTTGCCGACCACTGGCCTAGAGGGTAACTTACTGAGGCCAGTGCAGCAGGAGGCAGAGATGAGGAAGGAAGGGGTTGCTGATTGCCCTGGTGGGAGGGAAGGTGATTGGGGTTAGAGAGGGAATGATTGGGGTTAGCAGGATGGTGGGAAGGTTGGAAGCTTCAGGAGTAAAGCAAAAAGGAAGACTATTGCCTATTGCAACCTGCCGAATTCCTTACGAGGGCGCTGTTCTCAGATTGTCCACAGGCAGCACTATTGTAAAACCTCTCTGACCCTCCTCTTGGCCCCCCATCCCAGCCAGAGCCTGGCTCGGAGGACTGGGGAGAGAGGACCAGAGGCCGGGTCCGAGCAGCAAAGAGCTGGGCGCCCTCAGTCTCACGCCTGGGAAGACAGTTCCGGTCCCGAAGCAACCCCGTTCCCATTTAGCTCCGCCGCCAATGCCATCTCCTGACCGGACTCAGCCAGTTTCCATAACGGTCCCTGCTTCCCACGGAGGCCGCCCCCGCACCGGCCAGCTGCTGGGGCAGACGGGTTGGCTGGCTCGGCAGCTGCCCGGGGCCGCCTGGCGCTGGGAGATAAGGCCACCCTGTCGCCCGGCCCAGTTCCCATGGGGACGTGGCGGGTGGATGCATTGTCCTATTTGCGACGCCTCCACCATTGAAGTTGTCCCACTGAGGACGGGAGAGAGAGAATTGCGATGCCAAAGGCGTCTCAGCAGACGGACAGACTGGAGAGGGCAGGGAGCACAGCATCTTTCTATTGCCTGTAGCCTCTGAGCGGCACTAGGTGACCAGCGGGCAGTGAGTGGCCACGTGGTTGAAGCCCATTATCCTCCATCCCAAAGCTTTCCCACGGCAGGTCTCTCTCCCCTGGGCACCGAGCCCCTGTCACTGTCCCCTGCCTCGGACCCAGCACAGCTCCAGACGGAGGAACGGCCTTAAGAAGCCACCTTGAGCACTGACAGGTCCACATGCAAGATTCCTAGTTCCCTGAAGACCTTTCATCAACGGATGGTGTCCCAAATCTTCAAGGAGAAAACACAAACCCCAACCATCCTAATCGTGATGAATATTACAACTGGACCTAGGTGTTTTTTTTTTTAAGACACAATTTAATAACATAAACAGCTACAAAAACCAGTGGAGCAGTCTGTAGAACTCTATACAGAAATAAGGCAGACGGCCCGGCCAGTGTGGCTCAGTGGCTGAGTGCCCACCTATGAACCAGGAGGTCGGGGCACGTGCCCTGTTTTCGGGCTTGATTCCCAGTAGGGGGCGTGCAGGAGGCAGCCGATCAATGATTCCCTCTCACCATGGATGTTTCTCTCTCTCTCTCCCTCTCTGAAATCAATCCTATATCATAAAAGGGAACTAGGCAAATGGACCCTAAAGGTAGAATGATCGGGAACGGCCGGTTCTAAGGGAAACGGACAGAGAAGAGGCGGCACACGTTAGTTAAATAGTTTAATCAGAGCAGTGTTACAATCCTAAATTAAAAGAGCCCCAAGGTTGGCCACGTGGCCTTGCTTCCATCCCACTGCCTTCCTCCCAGCATCCACTGGGAAGGACCCCAATGGAGTGACTGATCCCATCCCCCGGGGTTTATGCAACCGACGAACTCCCTGAATGGATATTGCTTTAGCATCGATATTGAGAAATGGCCGGACGAGAAGCCCTCACTCGGCCGCTGGTCACAGGTGGCGGGAAGAGAGGGCCCCAGGATGGCTCAGGTCCGCAGCGGGTGGACAGTGCCAGCTGCGGACGCGGGGGCCCACGGCGCCCTGTCTCGTGGGGACAGTTCTCGCGGGACCAGCCGGCCTCGGAGGGTTTCTCCGTCGGTGGAAACTTGCATCATGGACATGCAATGAGTTCTGTCGGAGGTGTGTGCCTGCGGTCTGTTGCACACGAGGATCGGTGTCATCGAGCTGCAGGGTTGCCTCAGAGCATGGCGGGGAGGGGAGCTGGGCCGTCGGGGGGCGTGATGGGGGGGGGGATGAGAGGAGCCCCTCGTCACGAGGCCGGCCACCGGCTCCTTGGAAAGTGCACGGACTGCTTTGCCACCCTCCCCCACCGAGTACAAGGACAAGGAAGAAACGCACAAAAACCAACCGAAGGAGAACAAGTGGACATGAAAATAGGATGCTCCACGCACGCGTCTTCTGCATAGCTCAGCCCACTGAGTAAGGCACTGTTTCCCTCGCCACCGGCAGAGGCACTGCAGCTGGGGACCGCCAGGTCCCTCCCGGGATGGAGGAGTGAGGAGCCCCGGGCGCGGCCCACCTTCCCCTGACCTCGCCCTCGGGGGGCTCCCGGCGTCCTGGAAGGACGTCTGTCCGAGTCATGACTGAGTGTCCAGATGGCTTTCTTTCCCGAGTTCCATGTGGTCTGCGTATGAGTACGGGTGGTTCTTCCGTGGTGATTCTCAAAGGAAATACACAAGCGGGGGAAGGCCCGGCCAGGAGCACAGCCACTGCCCCCAGGAAGCATGGAAGGCGGCAAGTCTCACATGAGCGGATGTTTGCAAGAGACAGAGTCAGAGAGAGTCAGAGAGAGAGGCAGAGAGGCAGAGAGAGAGGCAGAGAAAGAGAGAGGCAGAGAGAGAGGCAGAGAGGCAGAGAGAGAGAGAGAGGCAGAGAGAGTGAGTGAGAGGCAGAGGGCCACGGAGGGGGCGGGTACTCGGGTTTCCGGGTGACGGTCTGAGTTAGTTCAGCTGGTCTTCATACTGCTTCCGGAAACAGTCCCCGGCGGGGAAGAACTCCCAGCACCTTTCCTGGTACATCTTCCACACGTAAGATTCCTGCAGGAGGAAGACAGTGCAATGCCATCACGTCTTCCCCAGCACCTGTGTCCCCACAAAGTGTAAGACGAGCTCACAGCTGTGGGTACGTATGTCATGTGTCATTACACGTGGACACAGATGTCACTGGAGAAGCCCAAGTTCATTACCCGGGTCCTCACTGTGTCAGACCTGCTTGCTTCTAGTAACAGATCATCTTCATCAGGAATTAATTGTGGTAAATGATTTCGAGGGTTCTTTTAAAAACATTATTGCTCATTGACTCCTTCCAATGCAAACCATTAACAACTGGAAGTGAATTTTGTGGAGAGAGAATTTCAAATAGCTTAAGAACAACCTTTAATATGCAATTCTTCTCCTCTGCCCATGAAACTGTGGGTGGAAGTGCATCTGAAAGCATCTGCTATCGATTAAGAGACCAAGGACATTATACTAATCAAAACCCAGAGTTCGCATCTTCAGCAGCAAGAGTGTGGTTTTTGTTTTTGTTTTTTCTATGAGCCCTGCACGCTGGTCCTGGCCGGGGCCTCCGTGTGACGGCGTGACTACCGTCTGGAGAGAACCCGCCTCAGGGTTTAATACCCAGTTCTGTCCCCAGGGCAGGCTCCCTTCCGCCCTGCCCTTCAGGCCGGTCCCCTCCCTACCTGCCCCGTGTGCTCCGTCTCGTCCTTGTTGATGAGATACATCAAGAAAAACCTGCGGAGACGAGAGGAGGCAGGATGAGCATGTGGGGCGCCGGCACCCACAGGCCCGGGGAGCAGGGGTGCGGGGGTGTGGGCGGGGGGCATGAGGGGGCACGCTCACAGGTAGTTGGCCAGGTTGTGCTCCTGCAGCGTGTGTGTCTCAAAGCCGTGCGGCACCGTGTCGAAGTAGTCGTTGCCTATCCCGCAGATGAAGCACTTGGTCTGCAGGACGAAGGAGAGACGGGACGCCAGCGCTCAGAGGCAGAGCAGAGCGCCCCGGCTCACACACTCAGCGCTCCGAGACAAAGGCAGGGAGGGGGAGAGGGGGAGCACCCGTCAGGCCCGGGCGGAAACGGGAGGCTGACCTCCATGTCCTCCTTGACCTGCTCCTGCTGGTCTCGGAGTTCTCCAAACGCATCGATGATCAAACCTGGAGTTAAATAAAGACGCGGGTTAATCTTTATCACCCAGAGAATTGCCATTGACTCCGAAACCCTGGCTAACCTCCCTCGGGAGGGAATGTGTGCAGCCACGCTCGGCACCGCTCAGCAGCGGGGACCACCGTGGGCACCCCAACACTCCCCTAGGGCAGGGCCTCCTCTCTGTGGGACACACGTGTGCGCAGTGACGGGGCGACACAGATCAGACTCTGTCACAGCCACTCCATGCCGTGGAGCCCCAATGTGCTGCTCACTCGTGTCTGGTCCCCAGCGAGGCCCTTCTCCCACGTGTCCTCTGGCCCTTTCTCCCCGGGGGACGGCTGCCTGGCGCCCGGGGGCTACCTTGTATGATCGCCAGGAGGATGACGATGACGAAGAAGAAGAAGGTGATGTCGAAGATGATCCGGTAGATCTCATACTCGTCGCCCGCAGGGTCCTCGATCTCGTCGCCAATGCCCCCTCCAGCCCGCACGCCCACGTACATGTGGAACATGTAGCACTGCGGAGAGAGGGCGCCTGCCGAGGACACTGGCCCTCACACCCTCGGCCTCCCTTCTCTCTCTGAGCGAAGTCCTCATCCTGGGACTGAGGTGCTCGCTCTTCTCCCTGTCCCGTCTCCGTACCTGTAACGTGATGCAAACACCCCCTCCCACCAGCCACCTGCCCGGCTTCACCTCCGCTGCCCGGTTTGCAACGCCCCCGTGGGCAGAGGCCTCAGGGGACAATTTTCTGTCCAGTTCTGGCTCCCAGTTTCCACACCCACACCCCTGGGGGGCCCGGGACGCCTCGCCTGCCAGGCCCAGCACAGGGGACACATCTGTGTATGACCATCCCCCGACCATGACCTTGGGTTAGACTCTGGCTCTCCATGTGGGAAGAGGAGGTGTGGATGGGCTGCACGGACTCTAACGAGCAGGATGTTAGAGCTCAGATGTGCACCCGCTCCTGTTCTGCCCCGGTCAAGGGTAACTGCACACGTTACTTAGGCTGAGGCGGGGATGCGTTTTTATGCACACGAGACCTCACACGTGAACTTACCGTTAGCATGTCGTCACACTTCATATCCGGCGTGTCTCCATCTTCACTTTTGTTGTAGAATTTTCGGAAGAAATTGAATGCCACCACCGTGTACAGGTATACGACCACAGCCAATAAGCCCACGGTTAATACCAGCTGGAAAGCAACGTGACATCACGTGTCAGGACATGAGAAAGGGCGGCTGTGGGAGGGACGTCTGTGGGCGACTTGGCACAAGCTGGACTCACTGACCAGATGTCTTTCTTTTCTTTTTTAAAAAATATATATTTTCATTGATTTCAAAGAGGAAGGGAGAGAGAAACATCAATGATGAGAGAGAATCATGGATCGCCTGCCTCCTGCACGCCCCACACTGGGGATGGAGCCCACAACCCGGGCATGTGCCTTGGCTGGGAATCGAACCGTGACCTCACAGTTCCTAGTTCATAGGTGGATGTTCAACCACTGAGCCACACCAGCTGGGTGATCATATGCTTTTCCTACCATCCCAGGGGAACCTGTTTTCATATTCTCTTTATTTTACCAAGGTGTCAGATGTTTTATGTAAAACTTGATTCCTTAGTTAATAAATGCATCCTATAGCTGGATATAAATAAACTGTCTTAATTTCATATCCAAATTGATAATAAGCTGCTTAAAATGCTAATTTTTCTTTCTTTTAAATATCTGACAGTAGATACATTGTTCTTTCTTTTTATAATGTCTTTAATATACATTCCAATTAAAACTATATATTAAGACTGATTACAAGTCAAATATATGTATTTTTTGTTAATCCTCATCTGAGGATATTTTCCCATTGATTTTTAGAGAGAATGGAAGGGAGGGAGAGAGACAGAGAGAGAAACTTCGATGTGAGAGAGACACATCCATTGGTTGCCTCCTGCACAGGCATGGTTCAAGGCTAGGGATGGAGCCTGCAACCAAGGTGCATGCTCTTGACCAGAATTGAACAGGGACCCTTTAGTTTCCATATCTTAAACTAAATATAAATTTGCATTGCTTCTAGCATCTGGAAAGACACACTATTAATGATATATAATATAAATATTTTAAATATGTGCCTGAGAAGTCCTTTTCGGTAACATAAAGCAAAGTGAAAGACACTTTAAGAGCTGATAAGCAACACAGTTTGGAAGGCCAACATTTTCCCTGTGAAATGCTGCAGTTTAAAAGATCTCCCAGCCAAAACCAGTTTGGCTCAGTGGTTAGAGTGTCACCCTGCGGACTGAAAGGTCCCAGGTTCGATTCCGCTCAAGGGCATGGACCTTGGTTGCGGCCACATCCCCAGTGGGGGGTGTGCAAGAGGCAGCTGATTGATGATTCTCTCTCATCGATGTTTCTAACTCTCTGTCCCTCTCTCTTCCTCTCTGTAAAAAAAATCAATAAAATATATTAAAATAATAATAATAATAACAATAAAAAGATCTTCCAAAAGCCTCTCACCTGCTTGCCGTTGTGCGTTACTGACGACAAGATGGTCCTCAGCGTCTTGAAGCCCATGGCGATGTCGAGAAGATGAGCAGCGAAGAAGAAGTTGTTGTAGTGCCCCAGCACGGACATGGTCATGTACCAGGCCAGGTACAGGAAGGACTGCACACGGGACGGACACACGTGCGTCAGAGAACAGAGCCCCTGACTGCCGTCCAGTGCCGGCTTCCCTCTAGGGCAGCCATTCTGTGTACTTCGCCTTCTCAGACTACAAATTCACAAAATCTAATGATACAACCGGGGAGGGGCCTCCACCGAGAGAGAGAGAGACTGGCTGCAAGACGCCTTGCGAACAGGGGACAGTTCTAAGACAGAGTCCCTAAGATCCCTGGCGTCTGGGCTGTGGCTGAGTGAGGTGGGGGGTCGAGGCAGGAGAACGTGGGGTGTCCCAGTCTTTGGGAGAAGGAATGGAACGCATGCTCACAGTGTTAAGATGAAGTGAGGCTTTAAGAGGACATGAGCTGCGCGGGAGAAGCTGTAGCCTTAGCCCAAGGCCAGGGCACTCCTGGGCACAGGGGGGAGGCTGGGAGAGGCCTGTGAGGCCGGCTGACACCTGACAGCAGACACGCCTGGCTCAGCGGTCAGCCGCGTCTCAGGCTTCTCTGCAGCGACGCCCCGCAGCCAGCAAATGGGACAACTGACAGGAGCAGTCATTTCATCCGAAAGCTTCAAGAACAAAACCCGTGACACTGATGAGCAAGCCAGGTTGGAGGAAAAGGATCTGCTGGTAGCTTTTGGTAACGAGACTTTTTCACTGTCCTTACGTTTATTTCAGAGGCTCTGCGGCTCTTTGATAAACGAAGGATCAACACAATAATTACTTAATTTGGGAGAAGCTAGAATTTATCATCAGCAGTATTGAAATCCTTTTTATGTGTTTAGAACTTGCTTTTTAACGTCCACGAAACGTTGAAGTATGCCCCACCCAACTAAAACCTAAATGAAACTATACATAACGTGGCATCTCAGTTTCTTCTTGTGTAAATATGTGTTTGTTTTCCTCTCAGCTACTAAAAAAAGGGACTGAGAGAGGCGATGAAGTGAATCGCCTTAATTAAGTGAGTCGCCTTGACGCTGGGTCCTGCCGAGCTGGGCTCTGGGTTAAGGGAACTGATTTGAGGAACAGCCTGAGGAACCGGAGTACCTGGCGCTGCCGTGACTTACGTTGTCCGTGAAAACGACTCCGAGTTTCCACATCTGATACTTCACATCGATGGAGTTCAGTCTGGAAAGACAGAGAGTGCGCAGACGGGCCCAGTAAGCAGATGCCCGAGGATGCGCCTGGCACCGCCCCGGACCTCAGTTCTAGCCCTGCCACACCCAGGAGGCTCCAAGCACCCAGAGCGCCCTGAGAGCCTGATTCATCTCCCCCAGAGCGACTGGCACTGGAGTAAGGGTCACGTCGGGATCTGAATTTCCCGTCTGTCTCTCATCGATGTTTCCCTTCCCCTCGCTCAACAAAATCAATAAACACGTATTTTAAAAAGAAACCAAAAGGGCTACATAGTTCCCTTTTCCAAAACGTAAGAAAATTAACATTTTTCCCCCCAAGGAAGTATCAGAAAACATCATCATATATTGCACATTTGTGTATGTTTTACTTCGGCTTAAGGAAAGAAAAGACAAGTTAAATTAAGAGCATTTTTTTCTTGCTCTAACTGGTTTGGCTCAGTGGATAGAACGTCGGCCTGCAGACTGAAAGGTCCCGGGTTCGATTCCGGTCAAGGGCATGGACCTTGGTTGCGGGCACATCCCCAGTAGGGAGTGTGCAGGAGGCAGCTGATCAATGTTTCTCTCTCATCGATGTTTCTAGCTCTCTATCCCTCTCCCTTCCTCTCTGTAAAAAATCAATAATATAAATAAGTATATATATATATATATATATATATATATATATATATATATTTAAAAAGAACATTTTTTGTTGTTTTATGTAGATAATGAAAAAGGCACCTTCAGCCGGCCAGCATGGCTCAGTGACTGAACATCGACCTTGAAGCAGAAAGTCACGGTTCAATTCCTGGGGCAGGGCACATGCCAGGGTTGTGGGCTCCATGCCCAGTAGGGGGCGTCTCTCATCACTGATGTTCCTCTCTCTCTCTCTCTCCCTCTCCTTTCCTCTCTGAAATTAATAGAATACATTTCTAAAAGAAAATGAAAAAGGCTCTTTCAAAAATTAATAGAAAAAAAATCCAATCATTTTTAGCTTAAAATAGCCAGAGGTATAGAGGAGACTCTGTGTACTCTCTGGTCTCTGCCTCGGTCCCTGTGACCCGGAGGGAAGGAGACAAGGCTCCTGCAAGGTCAAGAGCCATCCCTGTCTCCTCCTCGCAGCTGGCGCGGGGCGGTGACACTCACACGGCCGCCAGCGAGCTGTCTTTCTTGGGCTTCTTTTTCTCGCGGGCGTCGCTGAAGTCCAGGGCGGCCTTGTCCATGCCCAGCAGCTCACTGATCCTGTCCCGGCCGTAGAACTCGCCGTACTTGTCCATCACCTGGGAGACAGCGAGAGAAGAGCCCAACCCTTAGGTTAGCTCGGCTCTGTCTATGCAGAAAACGTCTAATTATCTTTAGAGTTACTCTATGTTTGTCTTATTTGGAAGTTCATTTGAAAGTCTAGTTGATGGCTGTGGACCCTGAGCAAGAAAATGTCTACTAAGAAGACACTCTATCCACTGAGCCACAGCTGAAACCGGTGTGGCTCAGTGGATAGAGTGTCGGCCTGAGGACTGAAGGGTCCCGGGTTCAATTCCGGTCAAGGACATGTACCTTGGTTGTGGACACATCCCCAGTTGGGGGCATGCAAGAGGCAGCTGATCAATGACTCTCATTGATGTTTCTAACTCTATCCCTCTCTCTTCCTCTCTATAAAAACTCAATAAAAATATATATATATAAAAAAGGATTCTTGGTGAATTAAGCTTAAATTTTAGTAAAATAGCCCAGCAGCCTCTCACGCAAACTGCAAAACTGCCCGCCAGGGAGAAGCCTGCACCGAGCTGCCGCCTCTGCACCGAGCTGCCGCTGGCACTGCCACCGGAGCGGCCTCGGCTCTGCAGACAGAGCTCTGTGCCGGGTCCATAGCTGACCCAGCTGCTCCTCTGCTTCTGCTGCTCCTCCCACCCTCGATGCAGTCTGCTCCAGGAGAATAAAACTTCACCAAAGCAAGATCTTTAAAGAGGATATATAAAAAAAAGAAAATGCAGTTCCCTGTTGCCGGGCAACGCCTTTTACCTCTTTGGTGGAAGGGGGACCACGCCTGACCTGTCGGCTGCCCTAACTGCAAAGGGCCTTCGCTGGTGTGGGTACCGGAGGAAGCCAGGGGCCCCCACCAGCTGCGGTCACTGTCAGGGCGCGGGGGGCGGAGCAGGCCTCACCCCTTCTGCAGCCCCCGAGGACGGTCCCTTGCCGCAAGTGCGGAATTCACGTTTGGCTCCGCTGCACTTGGCCATGACAGTGACAGGCCGAGAACGTGCCTCGGGATCTCTTCCTACACAGCAGCTACATCAGTTCAAGTCTGAATTGCACTTTGGGGGGGAAAAAATACTAAAATGTATTCCTTCTAAGAAGTATATTACCTTTCTTTTGACAAATTTGTCCCAGTAGTTGTTGGGAAATGACCTAAAAGATAGAAACGCGTAGAAAAAAAAAAAAAGAAGAGTATTATTTCAAAGGGTGATAAATCACAAGATACTGCTTGAAATATAGAAACTATTTAAATTAATATGCAGACATATAGTTCCATTCATGAACATTGTACTGAATTTGTTTCCCATCTTATCCTATGATTTTTCTGCATTGCGGGCACATCAAGTATCACTTGGAATGTTAATATGTAAATACTGGACAGAAAGGCGCTGGGTTGACGTTGTCATGGAGAAGAACATGAGCATATTTGTTAGTCAGCTGACGGGTGTGTTTTTTAAATCTACTTATAGATTGCTTTGTCGAGTGTCTTCGAAGGACTTAGAAATCTGTCGCTGTTTTTCCTACAGAGGGAAAGCAATCTCCTTCGTACCAGTTACTCTCAGGAGACATGGATTGGGGGAAGCTGTGTGACCTGGCACCGAGCCAGGGAGATACGCACAGGGTGTGTGTGTGTGTGTGTGTGTGTGTGTGTGTCTGTGTGTGTGTGTGTGTGTGTGTGTGTGTGTATGGAATATGACTTAGCATCTGGAGTGAGTGCTAAACAAAGCACAGCATTCAGAGCCAACGTTTTCTGCGCTATCCACAGACAAATCACCCCCGTTGGACAATGAAGAACCTATTGAAATGAAAACTTCTTAAAAATAAGCAAAACTCATCACTAGGCTAATAAAAGGGAAGCATTTTCCTCTTGAGAACTGCAAGCTACTGTGAAAATACGGGCACTGCCAGGGGTGGGAAGCTGAGCTGGGTGGGCTGACACTGCACAGCAGCCTGCAGCTCGTAAGCACGTTTACTGGCTTCCGTTTCGCACGTCCTGATGCTCAGCTAGTCCCACAGGCTGCCTGACGGCACCTGCTGAAAGTTTACAGTAAAAACGTGAAATTCAGTCTCTCTGTCTCTAAGGCTACCTCTCCTACCTTAATGAGTGGCTCTATTCCTTCTGTGCTTCTGGGGGGTATAGCTCTGGACTGCAGGCTCCCCACCCCCTGCACCCTCCTCGGAACTCTGAGTGATGGAGGCCAAGTGCACGGGGCTGGGGACCGGCTCAAAGCCCTCTGATGAAGGAATGGGAACACAGATGGCCAAAACTGGTGGCCTCCACCGGGGGTTAGGGCGCCGAGCCTTTGATTGTCTTGGCTGAGTAAACACGCATTCATCACTCCGCCGCCTCCTGCCAGCATGCGGGGAGCTCGGCGGGGGACGGCACGCGGGCAATCGGCGAGCGCCCAGACCTTGCACGCTCCGTACTCACTGAGTGTTGATTACCAGCCGGTCCCACTGGCCTTTGATATCATCTTCCGAAGGCTGCTCTGTGATGTAAAGGCCGTCGAATTCCAATTTCCGAGCCACTTCCTTTTCGCGCTTAAAAATGACCAGCGGGACCTACATTTCAAAAAGGAACATATTGAATTACTTTAGATGTACTGGCCTCTCAGCCCTTACAAACCGGCGTTAGGAGAGAAGCATTCCCCGTGTTACTTCCGGGAAAGCAAAAAACGGAATGAAAGTGAATCAGCTGTGTTTAGGGAAAAGCATCGCACGGTCTTAGAAAAACGAGAGATAGGATAGAGATTATATAGACACGCATTTTTAAACACAGAAGTTCATAAGCAACGAAGTCAGATTTAAATAATAAAGAGGATAAGGTTGCACAAAACTGGTTTTCTTTGGCGTGTTATAAACACATACATATGGTAGCAGCAGCAATAAAATTCACTGAGGCCAATAAAATTCACTGAGGGCAATAACCATTCGCTAAGCCTCCAGAATGCGTGCTTTTAAAAAGTGTAATTTCATTTGAGAAATCTCTGTAATAATCTCCTGCTCAGCTATTGTGAAATAACTTTAATTTCAACAAAAGGAAAACTCTGTCTGTTTTCCAAGATGTCTTCAGAACAGACTGAGGCCCTTTTCCTATGGACAGACTTTACACAGGAAAGGTGCGGACATTCCAGAAGCGTCTGAGAGCACCCCATGGCCCCGTGTGTTGGGGGGCGGGGGGGAGAGGACTTTCAAGGGGTGGCATGCTGGCCTTCTGCCCGGGCCTGGTCTGCAGCTCAGGCTGCATGGCAGAGAGGGGGGGGTCTTGCTAGGCAAGAGGAAGAGCTTGCCCGGAAATGGCAGCCCTAGGCATCGGGCACCTTCCTGGGTGCGTTCACCCGATGACACTGCTCCCTGCAGGCGGCCCAGGAGCCGCATCACCCCCCGGGGGAAGGGACACAAACTGGAAACCTTTGCGCCCAGGATGGCAGCAGAGATTGCTGACGTCAGAACAGTCACCAGGACTGCGAGGCCCCGAGGGTGAGTTCCTATAACCCTAACAGCTTCCGGGAGCACTGCTAGGGACAGTGTGCCTGGCCCCTTCTGCAGGGTCGTTACAGGTGAATCAGGCCACTATGTGTGTGAAAGAAAGCTCCAGTCAGACCACCCCAGCTACCTCTCCCCGCCCCAAGGCAGCCTGCAGCTGCGCCTGGTCAATGTGGAGTCCAATGGCCAGGCCCCCGGGCCCAGCCAGGACAACCGGCCGAAGCCAGCATTGCAGAGTGAGGCTGTGCCTGCCCCGTGCGTCTGCCCCGTGCATGTTCCCATCGGTGGCCCCTGCTCCCTCCCACCATCCACAGGTGTGGATTTCTGGAACATTCCAAATAAGCTCCGTGCATGTCATTTCCATCCCAGGACCCGCTTCCCCAGGCGCGGCTTACTTTGAGGCAGTAGTAGCCGATGATGCACTTACCTTCAGGCAGTAGTAGCCGATGATGCAGAAGAAGGAGATGACGGTGTGCAGCACGGCCAGGATGCGCAGCGTGGGCTCCATGTAGCCGCTGCTCTCCTCCAGCACGTAGTGCACCGCCAGCACGCCGGGCGCGTCCTCCCCGCCGCCCTCGTCCGGGATGCTGACCTTGGCGCTTTCGCTTGCGCTGCGAGGGGGCAGCTCCTTGCCTTCAACCACAGAAGAAGTGGAGACCTGGTTCAAACCAGTTAGAGTGCGGTCAGTGCTCTCCCCTAAGCATCAGCGCCAATGAGAAACAGGGACCCAGCCTGCGGACTCAAGGATCCCAGGTTCAGTTCCGGTCAAGGGCATGTACCTTGGTTGCGGGCACATCCCCAGTAGGGATTGTGCAAGAGGCAGCTGATGGATGTTTCTCTCTCATGGATGTTTCTAGCTCTCTCTTTCTCTCCCTTCCTCTCTGTAAAAAAATCAATAAAATATTAATACAAAAAATTTTAAAAAAGACCAAAAAATACGTACCTTATAGAAGAGCAAGATGAAGTTGATTGCAAAGGCGACAAATAAGGCCAGCATTCTCATGTTGTAAAAGTTGCGAGCAAAATAGTTCTGAAGGTGGAAAAAATGAAAGGGTCACTGAATCGGGAGACTTGAAATTTGCGGACCATGACATAAAGCATTCATTCATTTACCCAAAGCGACTTCCTGAGCGCCCAGTGCGTATCCAGCATCATTCTCCAGACTGTGGACATCACCGAGTTAGAAATCTGGGCACCACGGAGGGGACACCCCCACAGGGAATGCTCTCTGCGGACTTACAGAATGGGGTGCGTGAGCAGAGGCCTGAATGCCACGGGGAACGAGTCAAGAGGACAAGTGGGGACCAGATGTGTCAGAGAGGAGCGGGCAGGGCAGCCCTGAGGTCAGAGCCGTGCGGGTGCCGATGAGGACAGAAAGGAGGAAGCCAGTGGGGGAGGGGGAGGGGAAGGAGCTGGGGTCCGGGTGAGCTAGAGGGAGTGGCAGGCCCCCCGATGAGGTGCGTGTGGGGTCTGTGGTCTCCGGGCCCTCAGGGGGATGTGCACAAGAACAGAATCACTGCTGGAGCATCATTTCCCTGGTCCGTGAAGTGCAGATTAGCCAGAACCTTCTCATAAGGGCTCGCTATGAGGATTGGATACGACAATAGAGGAGTTTGTGAGTCCTGTTATCACAGTTGGAATGATTCTATTCCAGGAGGATCTGAAGAGGGCTTGATGCCCCCGGTGGGTGGGCTCCCGCATCGGGAAGACAGATCTGAGAAGAGTCACCGCTGGGCTGTGCGGAGGTGGAAGGGAGCGAGCTCAGAGATGGGAACTTCTGGGTTTGGGTCTCAGCACCTAACTAAGCCGCTGGTCCCCTTTCTGAGCTGGACAGAACCGGACAGAAGTGGGTCTGAGGATAAGGCTCTGGGAGATCAGCATGTGCTTTAATGTTAAGTGGGAGGCGTTGGCACGGTGCCTGCGGCAGAGCGATGCCAGCCCCTCTGTACCTGCTTGGCATGGGCGGCTGGCACACTCCTAGGAACGACGGGGTCCTGCAGGTGTCGCTGAGCCCACTTGACCCTGTGCCCACACCCGGCCTCACCTGCAGCCTCCCCTGAAGCAGGCACCTACCGAAACACCCAAACTAGTGACCACCCAGAGCTTTCTAGAACACGCTTATGCTCAGCATACTCTGTACTGAACAACACGGGAGGCACAGACCGCTGAGAAAACCTACTATCGCACACGTATCTGTCTGAAGCACATACAACATGTCCCATGTGTGCGCCTAAGCAGTGAGAACATTCAATCACGGGACGGCCACTTCCCTTGCAGGTGGTCCTGCATGTGCCTCGGGTGCACGCCCAGACCCGTCCCAGACTCTGTGGGGTGGAGATACGGGGTGCCGCAGCCGCCACGTCCAAGGTCTCGGGCTTGTGAACATGTACAGAGATCCTGGGTCCGTCCTCACGGAGCAAACCCAATGCACCAGCAGGGGGACTTGGGTCTTTGGTTGCCACCCAGCCCACGGGAGCCCACGGACCCTGCGGGGCCTCAGTTATGGCCTCACAACGTGTCATAGCAATGTTCTCCCGACGGGCTCACCAGGAGCTTCTGCTGATAAGCGATGATCTTCTTCCAGAACACGGACTCGGGGGCCTCGGGCTCCCCGTATCGGTGCGTGTGGATCAGCCGCAGCTTCTGCCGGCCCTTCTCGTCTTTGGCCTTCTCTTCTTTCTCTCCGTCTTCTCCCCTGCGGACAGACGAGTACACATAAGCCGGCAAGAGACTGAAGAACTAACGGGCTTTGTGCCAAAATACACAAACGAACACACGTTTAAATCATAGCATTGAGGTTGAAAACGTTCTTCTCCAATGAACTGTAATGCTCAGGATGTCAGAATCCGGGTTGGATGTCAGGGACCCCGGCCTCCTGTGGGAATTCTGTGAAGGTGAAATGTACAGGGCATTTCACAGGCTGGAGTGTCTTAGTTTCCATATGGCACCTCCCTGCCCACTGAGCAATGCCATCGCTCTGGAAACCCCCACCTGCCGCACTGCTGAATCAGGATTGTAACAGTCAACCTTGACCAGTGTCTCATCTTCGGACCTAATGTCAGAGACATGCCTTTGGCTGTTCGCGTATATAGAGGATGCCAGGGTGTTACCGTTACACGTGATAATGGAATTAGAAGCACTAAAACTTGAAACCTAAAACCCCTCTCGCTGCAGAATACCAATCCTCCATGGAAATGTATTTATGTAGATGAACTCATATTCAAAACTCACTTAGACATAACCCACCCAACCTCACCCACAGGAGGTATAGCTAACATTTTTTAAATATGTTGGAGAGGGAAGGGAGAGAGACAGAAACATCAATGATGAGAGAGAACCATCCATCTGCTTCTTCCCACACGCCTCCTACGGGGGCTGAGCCCACACTGTTCCCAGGCAGAATCCCATGTGCCCTTGAACCAGACGGGGCTCTTGGCTCTGGGAGGCATCCGAGCGGGCCACAAGGCATCCCTGCTGCGGGTCACACAGCTGGATGGGACCGGAGGACAAGACTGGCCTGGCCCCGGGTGGGCGGTGCCCACACTGGTGCCCCACCATGGAGGTCCCGGCGCTGAGCCTGCCTCTAGGGAGGTCAGAGGTCTCCATTCTGCGCCCTGGAGAGAGAGTAGGAGCTACAAGGAAACCACACGTACTCGGCTTTCTCGGGTTCCGACTTGTTTTCTTCTTTTTCTTCCTTTTCTTCCTCCTTTGTCTCCTGTTCCTTGAAGCGAAGGGAAAGACAAGCAGGTCACACACCATGTTGGGATGAGTTTAGGGAGCCCTGTGCCAGGCGCCACATGGTGACCTCTCAGTGCCCCTGCCTCGGCGGTGACAGCCCTGCGCCTTCCACATACTCACCCCACTCTGGGCGCCTCCCTGTCCTCTCATTTCCTCAACCACCTGCTCAAATCTCACGCACCCTCAAGGCCAACTACGTCCCCCTTATCAGGTCTGCTGACCAAAAGGTCACTCTCTCTGGAAACTCAGGGCTGTGCCGGACCCGCTACAGTGCCAGCCTCAACACCCACCGACTCCCAAGGGTGCCCTGGGCCCCCGAGCTGCCCCGCCGGGCTCCGTTACCTGCACTTTCTCGGGCACCTCGGGAACGGGGTCCGGGTTGCTCATGAGGTCGCTGAGGCCGGCGTTGGGGTTGTGCGGGATGAGCTTGTACTGCCCCCCTTCCCGCTTGAGGTCCAGGCCGAAGATGTCGGACAGCAGGTCGCTCTCCTCCGTGAGCTCCTTCAGGTCGGTGAGGTCCTCCGAGGGCAGGGCGGCCTCCAGCGGCTTCCGCTCGCCCTCCTCCCCGTCGCCCCGCACCTCGTCCTGCGTGGGGTCTGGCATGTCGGCCAGCAGCTCGGCCACCCGGATCTTCTTGGCGCCCTCCACCAGGCTGCCCCCCAGCAGCAGGCTGCCCACAATGCGCGAGAAGCCGCGCAGCACGCTGGCCACGACGTGCAGCAGGCTGGCCAGCGCCCCCCAGTAGGAGGCGAAGAGCGCCGTGGCCATGTCCCGCACCGTCATCTTCTTCGCCTTCTTCATCTGCTTCTTGAGGCTCTTGAGGCTGAGCATGCGCAGGAGGGCCAGCAGGTTGGCGCGGAGGGCCAGCAGGGCCGCGCGCACGGTCAGGAGCGAGAAGAAGCCCGTCCTCGGGCTCTGCTCCTCCGGCTTCTCCTTCTCGCCCTCCTCCTTGCTGGCCGAGCGCTCGCTGAGGTCCGACTCGGAGATCTGGGCGGCCAGCTGCATCTCGAAGATGGTGTCCTCGCAGAAGTTCACGAAGAGCTCCATCTTCTCCTTCTCGCCGCCCTCGTTGACCACGTCGAAGATGAACTGGCGCTTGGACTCCTTGACCTGCGGCTTCTCCCACTGCGTGCGGCTGGACTCGCTGATCTCGAAGTACACGCGCTCGATGCGCTTGGCGCTGCCCATGATCTCGATGCGGCCCAGGAAGGGCTGGAAGTAGCGCAGCACGCTCTCCGCCAGCTCCAGGAAGGTCTGCAGCCGCGAGTCGTTGGGCATGTGCTCCGACAGGTTGGTCAGCAGCACGGCCACGTTGAAGCTGATGTCCTTGGCCGGCTCGTGGAAGCGCTTCACGAACTCCTCGTAGTCCAGCGTCTCGTTCTCGTCCGTCTCGGCGCAGGACAGCAGGAACTCGGTCTCGGACGGCGTGTAGTGCTTGTGGCTCTCCATGGCTTTGTGGAAGTCCCGCTTGGAAATGACGCCCTTGCCGTCGGGGTCGTACTCCTTGAACGTGTCGGAGGACGTCAGGTCCTTGAGCTTCAGGAACATGTCGAAGAACTTGAGGATCATCTCCACGTTGTTGGACGACTCCACGAGCATGTCGACCATCTGCTTGCCGATGGTCCCGTTCACGACGTTACCTGCAGGCAGAGAGCGCGCTGGTTCACAGCGAGCACCGTCCACACACACACACACACACACACACACACACACACACACACAGCAAGAGAGAGAGAGAGCGAGAGCGAGAGCGAGAGCGAGAGCGAGAGAGAGAGAGAGAGAGAGAGAGAGAGCGCGAGCGCACGCAACCGCACAGGAGAGAGGGAGAGAGAGAGACAGCAATCGCACAGGAGAGAGAGAGAGAGAGAGAGAGAGAGAGAGAGAGAGAGAGAGAGGGAGAGAGAGAGAGAGAGGGAGCGCACAACCGCACAGGAGAGAGAAAGAGAAAGAGAGAGAGAGAGAGAGAGAGAGAGAGTGCAACCGCACAGGAGAGAGGGAGAGAGAGAGAGACAGCAACCGCACAGGAGAGAGAGAACGCAACCGCACAGGAGAGAGAGACAGAGAGAGAGAGAGAGAGAGAGAGAGAGAGAGAGAGAGAGACCACACAGGCCTCCCAGCCCCACCATCCTCCAGGGTGTGAGCCCCGGGAGTCAGACAGTCACTGTATTTACACAAACACACGCCACACCCTACTGGCTCATAACCTTAGAGGGCTTCTGGAACAAAAGCCATATTTCCCCCTCAAACTGGTCATGTTTTAGAATAAAGAAAATGGGCAAACATTTATACCCTAAAGCCAGAAACTGAAATCCCGCTTTATATTAATAAAAAGGAGCATTCACAAAGCCCTTTAAGGTTGAAAACTCATTCCTCAAGGACCATGTCTCTTTCTTAAACCCTAACTTGAGAAAAGATTATAAAGCCCCCAGTAAACCGGGCATCTGTCAGATCTGGAGGTGGGTGGGAGTTTCGCTCTGCGCAGCATACTAAACACTGGTCCTTAAAGGGAAAGAATGAAGGACCGGGATATGCACGATGTAAAACTATAAATGCAAATGCACATGGAGCGGAGACTACCTTCCAGCATGGACAGCAGCATGACCACCATGTCCTTCTGCAGGTCCATCAGTTCTTTCAGGAGCTCGATCTGACTGGAGTCCTGCAAAGGGCAACACGTGGCGTTGGAGACAGCGGGAGCAAAGGCAGCAGGAACACGTGTGTTCCCCCGGAGGGCGCTGCTTCCCCCAAGGCGACCCCTCCCAACATCACAGGACCCAGGAAGATGATAATCTGTGTTTATTGGCTTATCCTGAGAGCCACTGTTTCTCTTGACTGTCAGGAAGTTAATTTTCTGCTAGTGGGCGAATGCCTCGATGGAGGACAGCTGCTTGTGTGGCCCCATACGCAAACCTCTCCCCTCTAAGGGCCTGGCAGAGTTCAAGTCCCTGTCTCCTCAGGGAGGGAGGAGAGAGCGTCTGTGAGTGTCATGGAGACGTGGGTCCACGAAGGATTACAAATGCTCACCACTGGGGACTAAACGCCTTCAATATCTTTTATTCTCAAATGTGAATGATAGTTCTCGTCTGTTCTCAACTTGCATCAAATTATTTAAAAAAAAATTTTTTTTTTAATCCTCACCCTAGGACATGTTTGTACTGATTCAATAGAAAGAGGAAGGGGGGAGAGAAACATTGATGTGAGGGAGAAATATTGATCAGTTGCCTCCGACCGGGGACACAATGAGCAACCTGTGTATGTGCCTTGGTGCATGGAACAACACACACTGGCCAGGGCACATACAGTTCTTTCATTGGAGAAAATGTTTTTAAATGTGGAATAAACGATGGATAAAGCAACTGAGAAGGTGATGTTAATAAGGGAAAGCTGTGTCCTGTGCTGTGACTGCTGTCCCCGCCGGCATTCGGGGGGCGAGAGGTGGTTCCCTACCTGGGACAGCTTCATCTGCATGTGGGCGAACACGTGCAGGAAGCCCACGACCGCGTCCCAGAGCCGGCTGTGGGCCAGGCTCTGCTGGTTCCCGGTGCACGGGCCCTGCAGGGAAACAGACCAATGGCATCATTTCTGGTAACTTCACTGCCAAAACGGACTGCACAACGACAGAGGCAAAATCAACATATCACCAACACGTCATCTGAAAAGAGAGACCTCAAGATGTAAGCTGTGCGATGATGATAAATGTGTCCTCAGGAGGCAAGAACTCACTCACCTGTCCAACCACACCTGTCGGGGATGCAGCTGTTGTTTTACATTACCGCCCCCCACCCCCCCCCCCCCCAAGATTATACTCAGTCTAAAGAAGCCAACTACTACCCCTTCCTCCTTTTTGGCCTCAGCACGGGGCACTGTGCCCAGCGGCTCCCTGACGCAGAGGCATTGCTAACCCCGCCCACGGAGAAGGTAGGAAGGAAAGAGGACAGACTGGCCTCCAAGAAACAGCAAAGTGTGCCTGGTTGGGGGAAAAAAAAAACCCAAAATTTTATAAAATCTTTTCAAAATTTGCAGGTTAAGATAAATTTAGCCTAAAGAGAACATAAGACAAATCATCATTTAAGGAAGGGATATTACTCATAGTATTTGGAATTTTACCCATATCATACATGATTATCAATACTAATAAAAGGGTAATATGCTATTTGGACCAGACAGCTTCCAGACAAAGCCACGGTGGCACGGGCCGAGACAGAGGCAGTTAGGGGCAATGAGGCCAGCAGGGGAGGAGAGTTAGGGGCAATCAGGCAGGCAGGCAAGTGGTTAGGAGTCAGCGGTCCCAGGTCCCTGCCCAAACCAGCAGTCAGACATCCCCCAAGGGGTCCCAGATTGGAGAGGATGCAGGCTGGGCTGAGGGACTCCTCCCCTCCACAGTGCACAAACTTCATGCACTGGGCCTCTAGTATTATATTCTTACACACACACACACACACACACACACACACACAAACATGAAGTTGTTAAGCACTAGTCTTTTTATAAAGTCTCCATGGCACGTCCTCATTTTTCCTGGAATGTGGTTAAGTGGTTTAATGCCCTCCTTCCTGCCCTTAATACCCACTGAGAGCTTTGTATATACACCAGGCCCTGGAGAGACCACGCCCCCAGGAGTTAAGGATCCCTCAGTCTGCCAGAGGGTAAAGCAAGTCGTTCCGGGTACATTCACATCGCCACCTAACCTTGTGGCCATCACCACTGGCTAAGGGTCTACAGACGAGGTCAATCGGCTGTGGGACGGGGACAGGAAAGGGCTTTTATCCTATCGCCTTTCCCCATGGGATCCCAGGGGCATCGGTGGCTCCTGTTTTCTTTCTTTCGCCAAATAGCAGAAGTGGGTAAGTGTTTACCTGGATGTACTCTGTGAGAGTGTTAAAGACTTGCTTTGCTACTTGAATCGCTTTGGAGAAGTTCCGCTGTCCTTGCTCATCAATCACGTCTTTCCCGGAGTAGTACCAATAGAAATCACTGATGGACTCCTGGAAGAGAGGTGGGGGACGGGGGAGAAGTTACATTCTGAAGCCAAGGCTGACCTGTTCAGCTCTGAAAGCTATCACAGGAAATCCTTCTACCTAACAGATTGGGAAGGGCACAAAAATAATATTAGGCCAGCCGAAAAGACCCAACCTGAGCTCATTAACTTTAAGTTATCTAGGTGGTTTGAAAGCCTCTCTTTCCCATTCCTGAGAAATGTTCAAATATTCTTCCCTTCTTTATCTACCAGCTGCAAAGGGAGCATAGCCTGTTAGGGCTTTACCAAATGAAAAGAGCGTTGAAAACACCATCAAAGCTACAAAGCGCGAGGGCCGATCCGCGCGGGCAGAGAGCACACAATGAGGCGAGCGGAGCCAGGATGAGAGACGGAGCCCAGGTGGCCGCTCGCCCGGGGGCTCGGTCAGAGGCAGATCAAAGGCGACACGTCTGACAAGTCCTGACAGGAGACCACAGCCCGGCGGGACACGCAGCCTCCCAGAGGGCCCCGAGGCGGAGGCCCGTACCTGCACCCGCAGCAGGTAGTCCACGGTGGAGATGATGATGTTCACCGTGGTGTTGTTGCCAGTCTGCGTCCTCAGGTAATTCTGGAAATCTGTACGAAGATCGAACAAGGTCATTCCCTCTCCTTCCAAAGTGTGGAATGGCTCGTTATCTGAATACCTCCACCCGTGAATGAGGTCTCCAGCAAGATCCTCGTGGCTAAGAGCAGTTTTAAGATGAAGTAGTTCATTGTGCCCAGAAAAAAGTGAGGGACCCTCATACACCCACCTGGGAGCTTCCCAGAACCTAAACATACCATTTTTGTCTAAGAGGGAGCTGACCGTTTCCGATCCCCAGCTCTAGAGCCCTGGCATGGGGATGGGACAGGACGCCACCGCTAAGGAGGCAGCAATCGGATGACTCTGCTCCTAGGACTGTGCTCAGTGGCGGGGAAGAGAGGAGAGTCCCACCCAGCTTCCGCCCTCCCAGAGGCACGGCTGTAGGAAGCCAGACCCCTAACCAGGGCATGGAGCACAGCACTCTAGGACAGTGGTCGGCAAACCGTGGCTTGCGGGCCACGTGCGGCTCTTTGGCCCCTTGAGTGTGGCTCTTCCACAAAATACCACGTGTGGGCACGCACGCACAGTGCGATTGAAACTTCGTGGCCCGTGCGCAGAAGCTGGTTTTCGGCCTGGGAGAGTCTATTTTGAAGAAGTGGCGTTAGAACACTCAAGAGGCCAAAGAGCCGCAGTTTGCCGACCATGGCTCTGGGTGATGCTGTGGCACCGTCCCCAGGTCCCAGGGGCCCAGAGGAAACCAAGCTCCCTACGTAGGTGTCCCCAGTGTGTCTTTCTCCACTGGCCGCCCGTCAGGACAGCTGATCGGGATACTGAGATGGCCACATGGGGTTGCCGGGCAGTGGAGCAACACAAAGTGGGACGTGGCCGTCTCGCATGGCACAAGCTGGGGCTGAGCGCCCCTGCAGGGCTGACCCGTCATCACAGCTGACAGGCCTTTGTCAGTACTGGCTGCCAGCACGTTTCCCTGGGCACCAGCCTCTGGCCTCAGCCCTCACGCACCTGAGTTGTGTCCCTCACAGAGCAGCTGCAGGAAGCGGAAGAGGTCGCAGGTGAACTCGTCGTCCTGAAGAACCTTCTCGCCTGCAGGGAAGTCCAGACGTTACCCCCCAAGCAAGCGAGCGTGTCTGTGCCTCCTCCATCGCCCGCACGTCGGGCCAGCACCGTGTGGCCGGCCGCAGCCACTGGGCAGGCCTCCTCCGCCGGAAGCTTATAGACCATGCGCTTGGCAGAGAGAAGCCCATTTTCTTTGTCAGAAAAGAGCCTGTGAACCTTGACCCCCAGGTTTCTCTCTGTTAAAAGGAGCAGCATGGGCTTGGCGACACTGTGGGAGCAGCCTGCGGGTTTAAATTTTTGTTCTCACCTTCTCGTGTGTGACAGATGTGGACAGGAATGAGTACTGATCTATGACCAGTGTGCAAGCGACATCTGCTCACGCTGCAGCTATCGGAGCTCATGTGCTTGTGGGGAGGGGTGACTGCTCTTAAAGTTGAAGGTCGCCTGACATTCCACCTACGTGTCAGTTTAAATGTATCTTTATACCAAGCGACTTCGGAAGCAGAAACACAAAGACACAAACAAGCAAAAACCAGCAGCACACATGGCAAGCTGATTTTCGACGCAAAAAGGGTCTGTGAAGACAATGTTCAACATATGAGCGTTCAACATATAGTTTAGGAAGAAAACTGACAAACAAAATTGGCCAGTGGGTGGGTGTATTTATATATTTAAAAAACAACACCCCTCAGCCCGGGAGCACTTTGGCTGAGAGAGCTGCAGGCAGCTCACACAATTCAGATACTGCACAACCGTTATTTGGTGATGGAACCTACACGTTCAACTGCCAAGCACAAGCCAAAACCACACAAGAATGGCAGTGGCCTTAGAATATGCCTCAATGGCTGTCTTTTAAATCCAGCAAGAAGCATGCACTAATTCTTTTTCCTACTGCGAGAAGAAAAATATTCAGAGATAGAGAGATTAGTTCATTCTGAATTATTTCCGAAAGGCCAGCAGACTACCAATGGCAGGAGTGAGGAAGTTTATTTTTTGTAGCAAGATTGCCTTAATAGAAAAACCAATGTTCCAAAACTAATATATTGATAATTCCAAAGCAGACCGACCAAACAAAAACAGATAAACACAGAGAGGCTTAGCAAAACTAAGTTAATTTAAAAATCAAACACAAAAGACCAAGAACAAATCAAAACAAAACACTGTGGAGATTTTAAAAATATTAAAATAGGTTTGCAACAATAGTTATTTTTGTTTTGCCTGCACCGTGTGCTCATTTTCTGGTTTATATATGCATCTATTTATAGAGAGAAAAACTCTAAGATTATGTGAGTCGTTTTTGTGCACATGTAAATTGTGATCAGAGTTATCTAAACAAACATTAGTCTTTCATTTCCTTCATCAAAGAATTTGCACTTGCAAAGATGCCTGGGTCCGAGAGACACAAGGACAGCTGCTGGGAGGAGGCAGCAGGCCGCCATGTCTGAGGGACCTGACAGCCCGCTGGTGGAAGCCATGGTCCCAATGAGTTCATTCATCCTTGCGATTTCTCCTTTTGTGGATAATTCTCTAATAGGGATCTTTCCTACTACCCAAGCAGGCGCAGGCCACCCACAGTAGGAAACAATAAGATTGGATTGGGTGTGACCTGCATGAGTGGCCAGTTAGGGGTTTTAAATGAGTCACATAAGCATTTTGTCCATTTAAAGAAACCTGTGTCTCTCTGTATTGAAAAGGTAACTGATAGCTGATTCGTTTCAGGAAAGAAGGGGAAGCAGGAGACCTTCTACTTTAAGGAATCCGTACCTGGGCCTTCGTGGGCACCATTCTGACCCATACCTGATCCCTCCTCGGTCACCATCCCCAGTCCCTCAGCTTTGTTCTGCCGCTCAAAGGCGTTCAGGTCGAGGACGCTGCAAAATAGGGAGAAAGGACTCAGGGGACTCAGAAGAGCAAATGTCTGGAAACCGTGTATCTTGTAATGTGAACCAATGTCAGCACGCACCGCAAACGGCCCCGCTTCAAGGCCACCAGCCCCCTTCCTGGTGGCAGTCTCTCCCAGCACCCACGCTGGAATGCCCCTGTGAAGTCTCATGTGAGTCACTGTGAGCTCCGCTGGCAGCACATTATAAAGTCGGCAGACATATTTAAATCTAATTATAATGACCGTGTTTTCCCGGGTGGAATAGCTTGTTACACTAAGTGTGTGCCAGGGGCCTTGGTCAAATGCTGTCTGATTTTAAATGCTGTAAAACTAGGAAGTAATTATCATAAATTAGTTAGTGGAGGACCGTTTGTTGAGGAAAAATGAGAAGTGGCCTATAAGCTCCCAAATAAAACGAAGTAGAATTTTCTTTTTTCTTTTAAGCATCACGGGCCACTCACATTCAAGGGATGCAGAAGGCACTGCAATTCCCCCAAGCCCCTGCATTTAGCACAGGGGGGATTGTTTTCACACATTATTAACATCGAGGAACTTAGTAATTAAGATATTATTAAACTTAATATCAGGATAGAAAATAAGACAGTAACTTCCGCCCCCCTTTAGCGTTTCATCATTAAGTGTTCTTCTGTGTTAATGACTGTCCAGAATGTAAATACTTTGAAAGATACGACCTCTGAGTTAAATTAGAAACAGCAAGTGGGGCTCCCCTGCAGGACTGCACGGGGTCTCCCCTACATGACTGCACGGGGTTTTCCCTGCACGGGGTCTCCCCTGCATGACTGCACGGGGCTCACCTGCATGACTGCATCAGGCCCGCGAGGCTCTGGAAGAAACCCACGTCCTTCTTCTCCTTGAGATAGTCGAGCATTTTCTGTAACACACGGGCCACTGAATTCAACCTTTTTATTGTTAATTTATTTATTTATTTTTTATTTTATTGATTTGGTACAGAGAGGAAGGAAGAGAGATAGAGAGTTAGAAACATCGATGAGAGAGAGTCATCGATCAGCTGCCTCCTGCACACCCCCTACTGGGGATATGCCCGCAACCAAGGTACATGCCCTTGACTGGAATCGAACCCGGGACCTTTCAGTCCCCAAGCCGACGCTCTATCCATTGAGCCAAACCGGTCCCGGCTCACCCTTTTATTGTTTATTGTTAAGAAAAAAAGCAACAAAATCACACTCCCTCTTCTGTAATAAAGATAAAGTGTTCAGTGCATACGGTATCCTTTGTCGCAACTGGTTAAAGTTACTAAGATTTCGACCCAAATTGTGGCCAACTTTTAAACAGAACAGTTCATAACTGTGTTGGGAAGTGATCTATCTCATTTCTCGGGAGACTAGAAAGAGCTACAACGGAAATGACTCCTGGACAAACAGGTTGCCCAACCAGGCCTCGGTAAGAACCAACTCTGCCGACTGGGTGGGGTGAACCGCAGCCCGTGGACACACCATGTCCCCCTCTACAGGGTGGCAGTGCCCACACATTACTGACATCGAGCAGTTTGGCGCACCGAGAAGATACTTGGCTGCCGGGGCAAGGGGACTAGACAATGAAGACATATTTATACAGAAAATGAAATGTCGCACACGGGGCAGTGCTCTGAGGATGGCTAAAGGAGCCCAACAAGGGGACCTGGTGGCCCAGGGCCTGAAAGGAGCATCATGGGAGCGGCTGAGAGACTCACCTGCTGCACTGTGGAGTTCCCGCCATTGAGGATCGCAATTCCAAGTTTCAAAGTCGCAGCCACCATCGGTCCAGTTTCACCTTAAAAATATAAAATCAGTGTTCCTTACATCATTTCCCTGCTACATCCAGGTATCCAACCCCAAATGTGCACTTTTATTCTTACCACCCCTACAGATCTCTATCTTGGTGAAGAACTGACTTATGTTCCAAAAAATATCTTAAAGTGATAATGCATATTTTGACATCAATGTTTTTACAGAATTCTGTGCAATACAGACAAGACTGAAACTACATGAGGACAAAAAATATGAAGAAATAATTGATTTTGAAATACACAGACAACAGGGTGGTGAATGCCTGGGGCAGGGTGGGAACCAGGAGGTGGGAGGCATGGGGAAAAAGGGGTAGGATACCTATAATACACTCAACAATACAATTTTAAAAAACAAATAAAGGACCACTTTAAAGGTCTCCATTTATATCAAGGGTCTACAAACTGTGGCCTGAGGGCCATCCAGCTCGTCACATTTTTGTAAATAGAGTTTTATTGAAACACAGCTACACCATTCGCTTACATAGTGCCACTGGGTGCTCTGCTGCCACAGACATTTCCCTGGCCTTTCACAGGAGACGTCCCCCTACCTGAGTCACATGGGCAGCTCCCTAGAGTTGTGTCACAACAGAATTCCCAAAACTTCTTGAGCAGAAATAAAACATCTTTAAACTCGACTTCAAAACAGAGTCACGACTGGACTGTATAAATGAGGGCTCAGCTCGCCTTTGTTGTCACTGACCTGGTCGTGACTCAGAGAAGCAGGCCTGAGTGAGTGGGTGAGTGGACCTGAGGGAGCTGGGACAGGAGGAGGAGAGGGTGGAGGAGGGGATGGTGGAGTGGTGGAGGAGAAGATGGTGGAGGAGGAGAGGGTGGAGGAGGAGATGGTGGAGGAGGGGATGGTGGAAGAGGGGGTGGTGGAGGAGGGGATGGGGGAGGAGGAGATGGTGGAGGAGGAGATGGTGGAGGAGGAGATGGTGGAGGAGGAGATGGTGGAGGAGGGGATGGGGGAGGAGGAGATGGTGGAGGAGGAGATGGTGGAGGAGGAGCTGCGGGAGGAGGAGATGGTGGAGGAGGAGCTGCAGGAGGAGGAGATGCAGGAGGAGGAGCTGCAGGAGGAGGAGCTGCAGGAGGAGGAGATGCTGGCCATGGGCTGAGGGCTCACCTTTGCTGGCGCTGATGGTCTGCAGCACCATCTCGGCGGCACCGCGCTCATGCAGCCGGGCTTGCTGGTACAGAAGCTTCTGCTTCTCCATTTCCTTTTCCTGAACACAAACCCCAACCGGTTATGCTGTGGCGACCGGTCGGCAGGCAGCTTTCCAGTCACCACATTTCAGTCATCTCCATGTATGGGCTCTATGACAACATTATGGACCACTTCAACACCGACATTGTTATTAGACAGAGGTTCACATTATTTCAACTGGTTCATCAGGCTAGAGTTGCTCAATTTTCATGATTTGATTAGTCCACAGCCTGTCCCATAGTTTTGAAGTAGCTGTACTTCAGCATTGAAACGTGCACTTTCTGAATGATACATTCGTGCATAAGTTTCCCCATTTGGAATAATCTCCGTGTCATGGCCATAACTTGATACTGCTCAGCAAAAGGCTCGAGTGGCAAGGTATCACTGAATGACAGAGAAACGCTGACTGAGATGAGTTGGACTTTAAGCAAAATTGAAGGCTGATATGGATCGAGAGTAGGCTTTGCCTAAGTAGGGACTTATGAGACATCTCCCCCGGTCCCCCCCCTGAGAATGAAGCCATGTGCCTTTATATTTTGTATTCTCTGGCGGCAACGAACAATGCTGCATGGTGTTGCTGGGGCAATATGGCTGGAGTTGGCTCGGTTCCACTCAAACTACCACTGAAAACACAAAGAAGAAAAAATAAGGAGAAAATATAAAGGCACGGCGAGGTCCAGACTGAAGGATCGGTCACTGGAGCGGCCCAGTCGCTGGGGGACTGAGACGGCTAAGCAGTACAAGTTGCAGAGTGGACGTTGCATAGAGCCCTGTGGACAGCGAGCCCACCGATGGCGCGGGAGGGAAGCTGAGTCAACGGAACATGACACACTCGGCCGGCGTCATGTCCATCAACACAACGGCCAAAACGGAGGTGACCTCAAAGCAGGGGCTGCAGCAGAGGGACCGCTTTGCTGCCATAAACTTTCCATCCAAGGTAACGGAATAGACACTGGGAGATGGAAGAGGTTTAAAAAATGAAGGCTTGCTGGTTAACAGTATGAAAAAGAAAAAGGCAACTGAAAGGAAGAAATGGGCTCAAACAAATGATAAAAGAAACCTTTCAACCAAAAGCAACCGACACAGACATCAAGCTGTTACCAGAGAGTGCTCGCCGATGCTGGCAAAATTGGCTCTTAAATCTTTGATAATATCGTGCTGCGAAAACAAAATCGATCAGGGTTTGTGGTTGTTTTTTTTTTTTGTTTTGTTTTGTTTTTCACACTATCGTTAGAGCTCTGCGGTTAAATGTTTTTTATTTTATTTTTTTCTTACATTACGTGATAGGGCTAAATGGAAGCGGAGAAAGGAAAAGAACAGGCAGCTTTGCTTTGTGGTAGCCATGCTGACACCTAAAAGGTTTGCCTTCATGTTTAAACCTCTTCCTGTGAAGTCAAAAACAGAACAGAAACGAAGCCACACAGACACACAGACCATAGCGTCATACAACACGGTTTTGGAAACACAGAAAGAAGCCTGCTCTCCGGGAAAGAGGAAGCCATGTTTGATTCTTCCTTTCAGACCCAACCATCTTTCCTGCCCCGCCGTGGCCGAGCCATTCCTGGGTGTTTGCTCCCTGCCTCCTCTTGTGAGTGTTTCGATAAGACATTGATAAGAAATTAGTGGCGTGGAGAGCTGTCCCAGCGTTTCCATCGTGACAGAGGCAAGAGAATCAGGAAGATCGAGTCTTTCCGGACCCACAGGGCATGGAAAGATAGTCGCCAGGACACCCGGACAGAAGGACAGCACGCCATATATTCTGGAGGAAAAACAATAACTGTCCCCCAAGTAGGGAGAGCAGCTCAAAGTTCTGCCAGAACAATGGGTACACTACACTCGAAGGTCCCAGAATCCTTTGCGGTAACTAAAGTCACGTGGATGGATGGGTGTTAGGAGGATCAAGAAATAGACAGGATGTCAAGTTGTCTTCTTTAAAAAATACCCCCCTTCCCGCCCCGCCCCCTGGTAAAGGGCACCCTCACCTTCCTTCCACAGCATCTAAATTTCTATAATAATGACGACTTTGGGAGTGATGGGGGCACTCATCAATATGGAAATAAAAAAGATAAAGTGATCTAGAGGCAGGAAGGGCCAAACCTCACCAGGAGGGTCAGGGCACCTGAGTGCCCGCTGGTGAGTGGGTTGAGCTCTCTTCTCCCGAGATTTTCAGTACCTTTCAGGTCATTGATAAGGTTTCTCAGGTATAATTTAATCTCGTCATAGGAAGTTCTGTCCCAACATAAAAAAATAAAACCTTCACAGCTAGACCAGAAGTTTTCAGACAACAAAATGATGGCTTAGGTAGGGAAAAATACTTCCTGTTCAGATTTACTGCAGACCTGTTTGTGGGTGTTTTTAAAAAATATGTTTTTATTGATTTTTAGATAGAGAGGGAGTGAGAGAGAGAAACACTGATGAGAGAGAAGCATCCATCGCCTGCCTCCTTTAAGGAATAGAGCTTACAACCTGGGCATGTGCCTCGACTGGGAATTGAACAGGGGACCTCTTGGTTCAAGGGACGAAGCTCAACCAGTGAGCCACACTGGCCTGGGACAGGCCTGCGTTTTTTAAGCAAATTGGAGACAGACAATTTTAAAACTATCTCCCCTCAGGGAAACTGCACTTTGAAGGACCTTCTTAAAGGTAGGTTTCCCTGCCTGGCCCCAGATTCCCTTTTAAAACTGCCCCAGGGTCCTAAATTAGCATTATTCTTTCAGCCTGCTGTTATGTCTTTAAATTACTCCAAGGTTATAAAGAAAGGGCAGGGGGAGGGGTGGAGAAGAAGAGCAGCCTCTCAATTGGAATGATCCCTCAGGCCAGTGGTCGGCAAACTCATTAGTCAACAGAGCCAAATACCAACAGTCCAATGACTGAAATTTCTTTAGAGAGCCAAAAACCAACTTCTGCGCATGGGCCACGAAGTTTCAATCGCACTGTCCGTGCTCGCCCGCATGTGGTTTTTGTGGAAGAGCCACACTCAAAGAGCCGCATGTGGCTCCTGAGCCACGGTTTGCCCACCGCTGCCTTAGGCAAACAGTTCCATTGCCAAGTGTAGCAAGGAGGTGGGAGGACCAGATGAGTGCTCGCCCTCCCTCCCAGGAGCACGGTCTTCCTGATCAGCCATGGCAGCCCGGTGCCCAGCCTGGGGTCTCTCTCTCTCCCTGCGTGGTCTCTTCTTCCCACTCACACTTCCTGGGATTGCAACATCCCTGCCCCAATGGAGTGCTAGCGTATCATCTCTCTGCTCTCTTTCCTAGGGAACCTGGACTGTATCATGAGGGCTTTCCTTGGGATCACCAATTTCATTATAGGAAAGTAGAGCTGGCAGATGGCAGCCACAGGCAGGAGTATGAGAGAGACACGGGCCATCAAATCCCTCCCCCCTTCCCCACTGAGCTCCCTCAGTGGGAACTAAAAATTGGCCATCCTCTTGAGAAAAGAAATAACTTGATCAGTGTTTTATATATCTAGCTGTACCTTCAACTTTTTAATATTTAGGGTTATCTTGTTGTAAGATTCAGGAAGCCTTCTAATTCAGGTTGCTGAGTCCCGATGAAAGAAAGGAAATAAGCCCAAAGACTGAGTTATGTAGCTGTTAGAAAGGGCACATCTGATAGCTGCTAGTTCATTCTTACAGAATTTACCAAAAATGGATCCTATTCAAAATGAGGTCACGGAGGCCCGATAAAAATGCTGTCACCGCTGGGTGGAGCTACGGCACACACGGGTCTGGCACACTAAACGGTGCACACGCTGGCACGGGAGC